GACAAGATGAATCAACCACCTAAAGATACCAGATACAAAGGGAGTGGCTCAAAGTGTAAGCTCTGTATGCACATGCTCTTATAGCGATACTAACACTGTACAATAATAGCAAGCCTTTTGGACAACTCAGCAACTCCATTTCATGGAAACCAACAAAGTATGCTGGCTTGTGAGTGAACTCTGTATGCAGACTATGCCTCACAAAAATTCCTAATATTTGTCCAATCAACAGCAAACAATTCGGATGGCAGATGTCTCGGCACGCTAAAAATTGATTTGGCTGCTGGTATGTTTTGACCTTGTTCTCAAAGTCGCTGAGATAATACCAGCATTTTAATTATCTCTTTGCTGACAAAAATCAGGATTGTCTGATATTCGAATCAAAGTTGAAGAAGATCATAAAGGTACGTTTCAAGTCATATGGACTCGAAATTCCTTGTAATTAATCTACTATTTAGATTTTCTTGAACTGGTCGCACAGGAGAAAACCTTCAAAATGCAGCCAAGTCAAGAATTCGCATACAACATGATGCGTGGCAAGGGCGTCGGTACACGGCCTGTATTTCCTCCCCCACGAGATACCCCTGGAGATTTTGAGGATTATAGACCTACTGCAGATGTTGAGGAGTAAGTCATTCGCCTGATCATCTGTCAATAATTCTGACGTTTATCTTCTAGTAATCTACAATCTGGCTACAAGTATTATAAGATTCGACCCGACTCCGATTTCAAGAACGCTGCAGCTCCCGAAGACCTTGCGCAAGACATCAATCGACTGGCAATCAAAGAGCCTCCAAGATGCGAGATCGTTCTTGATTTGAAAGGCGACGAAGGAGAAACCACCAACCACTACAAGGGCAAAGAAGTCTGGGGAAATTTTGGTTATATCAAAGTCAACGGAGTCTGGGTAGATCCTGATAGCGAGAAGGACTTGGCGCATGCATTTAAGGGCTATCCGGTTCTATCACCAGAGGAACTCCAAGGTGCTAGAGCCAAGGATGCGCGAATCATGAGTCAAGCTGAGGCTGATAAATTTTATGACTTCTTCAACGAATACGTCTCCGACGATGAAGGAGATCCTCGAGATAATCGTATGTCGCCAGAAGAGTTTGCAAAGATGGTTCGCGGCACAGCCAGTGAGGGTAAAGGTGATACATGGGCTAGAGCCATTGTCGCTCCACAAGTAAGAATCTCTTAACAATATAAATGACAGTAACTGATATTGTCCGAATCAGGAAAAATTTACAGATAGACCGCGCCTGCCACGTAACCCTAAAACACAACATGGAAATGATATCTTGCCACCACAAATTGACAGAGATACTGGCAGTTATTACTCCGGTTTTGGTGGTGATAATTCTGACACGGCCAGCCTTCTCATCTCGGCAGCTGGTCAGTATTTTCACATTCTTGAGATCATTGGCAACACCTGACTAACACGACGCTTCGTAGGTGTTGACATCCTTCAAAGACCCGAACACTTCAATCGCATGGACCCACAAACTGACATGAAAATACTTGCTGAGGCATATGGCAGCCCCAATGCTTTCAAAGATGACGGTGGATGGTCTGATACAACAACACTTCCTGTTTTCAATACAGTGAGTTTGATTCGTCTTCATCTGTATGCACCTTCAAGGGACTGACAAGTGAACAGAAAGCAGCTGCCAAAGCTATCACCTGGGACATCCCTGGTCTGACTGATGAGCAACGCGAACGAGGCTTGGCTGATATGACATTAAGGGGAGAAGCACATTTCCAACATAGTCAAGTGATGGCAAGAAACCGAGACGAGCTGAAAGCAGAGAAGATGATTGCTTTCAGCGGTCTGGCAGGTTGCATGAGGGAGCACTATTTTATCAAGCAATTCCTAGACAACAATCCTTCATTCGCCAATCAAGAAACCCGCAGATTGGTGGATTCAATTTCTTTGGAGACACCATTCAGACGCATTGAGCGCACCATGATCAGCAACGATGATCCTGCTCCCAAGACGACCGCTGATCCATATCTCGGACTCAGTCGCGAAGACCGTACCTATATGCGTTTGATCAATGATATCTACCAAGACACTCATAACCTTACTCTTCATCTTCAAAATCAAGTCATGGTCTGGGGTGCTACCAAAGCCGAGATTGAGATCAAGATTGGCGAATATTATTTCTTACGCGAGCGAATCATGGCAGCCTCTGGTATGAATAACGAGTTCATTGAAAGTCTCATTCCTGTCAGTGCTCCTAGAACTCCTCGAGTCAACTTCTAGTGGGGTTTCTGGCTCATGCATATCTTGGTTGCTCATTATGCTCTGTCGCTACCATCCAATTTCGCTATCAAGAGCTGCACCTCGCGCTTTTTGAGATATATGTGCCCAGCCTTGTCAATCAATATCTCGATCAATAGCTGTTTCCTCATTACAAACATACAAAAAACCACGATATTTGCGTCTTCAGGAATTATTGCTTTTTTGCTTTTACTTTTCGCAGACCGACTTCCGTGCATTTTTCGCTCTTTAGAAATGCTTGCAATAATCTTGCTTTACGATCATTCTCTGACGTGCAAATACGGATTGTGCGCTACTTCTAATTCTTTAGATTTCTACCTTTGAGTTTTTCCAGCAAGCATTTGGGCAGACAATGGTGTCTCTCATCTTAATCTATGACCCTACACTATTGGAATACCATAAGATTCTCAAGATTGATGTATCATGGACCCAATACGCATCGACATTGCTCTCGCTCGTTCCTTCAGCTACAATACCCAAGTTTTGACATACAGGCCTCCTACCTTGATACGTTTTCTTTCCTATTTTGCTCCCTTTTCCTTAATTTTCATTTATTCTCCAATTGCGAACTTCTTCCTTCTTATTTCCTGTCAAGAATGGGATATATTCGGATGCAGTATTAATATTTGCTAATGAATTTTGATAACAATGATAACCATACCACGCAATACCCCTCATAAGCTTAGTACTTTGAATGGTGTATATGCTGACCGAGGACATTAGTTACAGTGTTTTGATGGATGGATGGATAGATGGATGAAAAACAGGGGCTTTCTCTTCGTTGGGCATGCTAGACTAGTTTTACTAAGATGGGGTACCTAGTAGCTTAATTGACAGTTCTCTTCCCACTTTTTCGTGCACTGTTGCTTCCAGATAGATGTGGATGCCATACTACTCGATACATCGGTGAGCTTCTCGGAAGCGATGTAAATTGATGAATGTTGGTTCTTCTACGATATTTGTATGTTGTGGTGAGTGATAGGCGCTTGATATGTGCATGATATTCCAGCCTTCAGGAGATAGTAACATCTCTCAAGTAAATTTGATTACCTGTCCCACCTGATCGCTAAAATCGTGACTGGTGATGCATCTTAGTGTCTATAATAATAATAATAATAATAATAATAGTATAATTTATTACTATAATTAGTCGTTGTTTCAAGTATGACTCTTTACAGGGTAAGGCGGGAAGCATAGGCTAGAATATGCAGGCATTCGGAGATTGATTGAATTGAGTGTACTAGATAACTATGAGGACAAGAGCTCTGCTGTATGTTAGAGCTCCTTACTTGGCACGGATTGGGACTATCTCCCCCTGCTCTAGCACCACATGAACCATATCTTTTAACAGCCTTCTTAATATTATAGTAATATGAGGTGATTCAATTGTTATTTATTAAAGACAACAAGTAAAATGAAAACATGCTTAGAATACTAAGGTGAAGAGATTAGAAGAGATTCTAAGTAATGGTATTATACAGGATGTAGATTGGACAATCAGGCTTGATGATGGTCCGAACCGGCTGTTCCGTCACAATGGGGACTTTCGAACACAATCGCTACTTTCGACTAAATTTGACTCAACTTGAATACCTCGTCACCGTTAATTAAAAATCTCGAACCACACACCACCTTCCCATTCAGCACCCATGTTGCGTTCGCGTTTTGACCGCCCGAAAGCACAGGAAGATTCACAGTTCGTTTGTTCCGTTGGGACTAGTGACATTCATTCTGAATTTTCCCTCTGCACCCACTGCCCAAGATACTGCTAAGTCTCCATGTGGTGTGGGGTGTGTGCCATTAGCCCAACTGAGCCCGAGAGTTTGCGGCAAAACTTTTCACTGCGCAGATCCAGGTGTAACGGTCTGAATTCCAAGGACATTTCTGCTCAGCTCACTCGTTGGAGCGGAAGACCAGGCATGATACAGAGATTTAGTTGCTCCTAGACCGGGCTCGCCGGTTGCAGTTAAAGTTTCCCAGAAGCAGCCGGTATAGTTGGCATTAGATGCCACAGACATAAGGTAGAAGCCTGAGAGAGAACAAAAGAGAAAGATTATACTTCTCCAAAGCTTTGAGCCTGACAACTGATGAGGTCGAGTTGTCAATTTCATACAAGAAACTTAGAAATTGTATATGATTGAGAGCGGTAGGCGCGCACAAAGTCAATTCGAGCTTATAGCAAACGAAGGCTTCGGTTGGTTAGCCTTCGATTGCTTCTAGATTTTAGAATGTGAAGTCAAGCGCCATAGGAGCCTCAATATCCATAGAAAACTTGTGATCAGAAGTTGCAGTCACAGGTTGTAGCCTTTTTAAATGTTGAATGAGTGTGCCCGGGATGGGACGGGAATGTTTGAATTTCTCACATACTATAACTTAGATGAAGAACCTTAAATATTAATTATTAGGAAATGAACGAATCAAATCACAATAAAATCAATGATTGAAACTACGTTCGTGTACACATCCGATTGGTTCCACTCCATGCAGCACTAATGAATGGATACATAACAGCTGGAGCTGCTTATTACACAATAAGCGAGATTCAGCTGCGTTGTCATTGGTCTCAAGAATTGCCAGTACGACATCACAGAAATGACATTCCTTCTTCACTATCTAATTACCTTTGTTCAAGTTTCATATGATCTACGAAAAAGTGCAAAGTAAATTCAATTTAAAGAAAAAGCAATAGACCTGAGTATTTCTTGCAAAGATCCCAATCATGCCCCTCAAGATCACCATCGTAGGAGCTGGCATTGGTGGCTTAACTGCGGCAATTGCTTTGAGAGATCAGGGTCATGAAGTTACTGTACATCTCTCCAGCCCCTTTCTGATCCCTATTAGCAATGCTTCTTTCCCGCATTCGCAAGAAGCTAAGTTTGATCACTGGTTTCCAAGCTCACGAGGATATTACAGATTTTCGAACAATCCCAGTTTGCCTCGGAATATGGGGCTGCGATTCATATTCAGCCAAATTCGAATGGAATTTTAAGAAGATTGGGGGTATTTCTGGAGGAGAGTGGCGCGAATTCTTTGAATTGGGTGAGCTTAGAGATTCCTTACTGTTGGTTTTTATCTGATAGTCTTCTTATCATTTTTGAAGATCATGCTTATTCTTAGTTGTCACTCACTAATATGAATTGTTCAATCTAGATGACAGAGTACACATCATCTGGTTCATTGAACCGAACTATGGATCTAATCGAGGCAGACAAGCAATGGCATCATGTATTTCCCTGTTCTTTCCATCCCTCACAAATCCAAACTAATATTTCATTAGCCCTGGTTCCTAGCCCACCGCGTGCAACTTCACTCCCATCTTAAATCCAAAGCCCTCGAATCATCTCCCCCACACCCTCCCATTACCCTGATCACCTCCCACAAAGTAACTACTCTCGATCCCACCACATCTACCGTGTATTTCTCAAACGGTACATCTTGCACCAGTGATTTGATCATCGGCGCAGACGGCGTCCACAGCCTCACTCGCTCTTTTGTGCAACTCTCAGAATGCAAAATCTCTCCTTTCGCGTGTGGAAAAAGCGCCTATCGTTTTCTTCTCTCCCGTTCCTCCGTTCTTTCTAACCCCAAAACCGCAAAATATATGCAGAAAGACGGGGAATTGATCATGTGGTTTGGGACCGATCGGCGCGTGATAATCTATCCAACTTCTTCTAATTCCTTACTTAATTTCGTTTGTTTACATCCTGATGCATTGTCTGAAAATACGGATAACGGAGAAGGATGGGGAAAGGGAGGTGATAAGGAGAATTTGTTGAGGATTTATGAGGGTTGGGATGAAGATATGTTGGAACTGTTGAGAATGGCTCCTCTGTCCGATACCTCTGATGCGAATACAACCGGCGCCCTCAAAGTCTGGCGTCTTCTTGACATGCAACCACTTCCCACATTCACAAAGGAAAAGCTTGTATTGCTAGGCGACGCAGCACATCCGTATCTGCCACATCAAGGTCAAGGGGCCGGCAGTGCTATTGAAGATGCTGCTGCTTTAGCAGTGGTTCTCCCGGGCGATGTGAGAAAAGAAGATATTCAAGAACGGTTGAAATTGTACGAGGAAATCAGAATGGGGAGAGCTCATCGGATTCAGGAATTTTCGAGGATTTTAGGGAGAGATCCTGTGGAGGGAGATGATGTTATCATTGACAGTGCGTCATCTTTCCTTGTTATTTTTTCACATCATTATTATTTTCTGATATACCGTCATGTCATACTAACATCTCTGTCCAGTTCGCCAATTCGTGAACCACAACTTGCAGCATGACGAATGGGATAATTCTACCCACGAACTCAGGAAATGGATGTGGAAACGCAATCCTGAGCTGTCTGCTTACTATTTGAGGCCCGCTAGTTTCGGTACGTCTTCACTAATCAAGTTATCACTCTGATCTCTAGCCTATCTTAATCTTACCCCATCTTATAGGACCCCTCCCCTCTCCCGGTCTTACTCATCAACATACAACCAAACAGGCCTCGTCAGGATCTGGAACTCCGTCCATTTCAAGTTCCCACCTCGATTCAACCCTCTCGAAAACCACAGCAACACTAACCTTCACCACCTCACGCACTCTCCTCCAGAATTTCTTCCCCATCGATTCCAACAAATTTCGCATCATCCACCTCGGATGTATCTCAACCGCTTCTTGGCGCTGGACTCGCTGGGTATTCAACACCCCAGAAACATCCAAAGACGAGAACATAGATGCCCCTTCAGAAACATACGAACAACTATGGTTTTGCATCGAGGATGTGGAGTACACTACAGACGAAGGAAAAACTCTGCGAGGAACATTCGTACCGATGGTTTTTGAAACTACTTCTCTGCATAGATCTATGACGCAAGTTATCAAGAGTGACGGTGAGGAAGAAGAAGATTTGGAGATAAGTACACATGAAATCCGTGTTTACAGTCGAGAGACGGGCCAGAAGATTGGGAATTTGAGGCTGGAAAATTTGGTGGAAGGGTTGGAAGAAAAGGAGCATGGAGATCAAACCAATGACGAAGAAGAAAAAGGTTTCTTGTCGTGGAGATACGAAGAGGGCTTTCCTCCCGCAAATCTCCACCCCACAACTTCAACTCCACCACAAGGAAAAATCCACTACGTGCCCTCTCCTTCTCCTCTCGACTCCTCATCACACACCTCTACCTTCTTATCAACCTCCACTTCCACTTCTACTTCCCCAACCTCATCCTTCAGAATCGCAAACAACCACCAAAAGAATCAGAATGCCTCCCACACCTCGCCCGAAGCCAGGCGCCTCTCATCGAGTCCGGTATTGACACCCCGTCAGCTGCATCATGACGATGATGAAGAGAAAGAGAAAGAGGCGAAAGAAATCATAGAGCGTATGATTGAGAGATTGGGAGAGGTATCTTGCTATGGGATTGTGGGCGCGAGGATGGAGGTTGGGGAGACGGGTGTTTGAGGCAGTGGAGGAGTCTGGAGAGGAGAGTAGGGGGTTGGTTGGCTGGGTTGGTTGACTGGGTTGGTTGGCTGCGCTGGTTGGCTAGGTAGCTAGGTAGCTAGTTATTTACTTGTGAGTATTGATGGTTGATGATTTGTGTATAATTTCACGCGAGCTGAGCTTATGCGAAAGTGTGAAATTTGACTCAAAGTGTAAGAGCTAGATCTTCTAAGGGATTTTTGGTTGCGAATTCCGAAATTAGGGGGGGGGGGGATATGTATATCTGTATGCGATTATTATGTACATGGGATTGAGTTTTTAATAAGGAGATTTCAGACTTCAGATTCCATACATATCGATTTTCAAATCACGATTTAGAGAATGATATCTTATGTTTCTCTATTACCTATTGTTACCCATCACTATCGCCATCATAGTCGCTATCACATCTTTTTCTCCATATCAAATGCATCATCAATCGATTTGTTTTATACTTGATACTTTACATTTATATATATTTGAATCATAGTCTCTACCCTCGTAACTAGCTTCCAAGAAAAACGAATCCCAATGAAAAGAAATGCAAGTCCGTCCGAAAGAATCAAATCCTCCAACTCCAAACCCAAGCCCAAATCCCACCACCATCATCATCATCTCCTCTCAGACCCCTCGTTTCTTCGCGCCCCCTCTCGGAGTCGGCGTACTTCTCCCCGAAGCGCCACCTCTCGAGCCACCCCTAGTACCTCTCGTACTAGGCGTACCCGCAGCAGGTTTCACCGGGGTCGGAGTCGTCGGAGTCGTCGGAGTCGATCTTCCTTCTCCTGCCGCAACCGGTTCCGTACCTGCAAAAGCCGTGATCACATTCTTTGCCGGTTTCTTCTGCGTCACTTTACTAACCAAGCCTCCAAAATCCATCGTGTGGATCGATTCCTCCAATTCGCCCAGACTAGCTGCTTGAATGAAGAGGACTTTGCCGGTTGTGAAGCCGTCTTGGAGTAACCTAGTGAGTTGGGTGTCGCGGAAGGGGATTCGTGCTTGGTTTGTTCCCATGGATGTGAGCACCGATCTCAGTGCAGAAAGTTCGGCGTTGATAGCCTGAGTTTCTGACACGCGATCAGTGACATTTTTCAAGGATTCAGAACCTGCGAGATCGACGAATGTGATTCCGGAGCGGGTGGTGGTGATGGCGCCTGATTGTTCGGTCTTGGATGCTTTTACCTGAAAGGATAGAAACATGTGAGATCGGGATGAAGTGTCGTTCTTTGAAGTTTGACCCGAGGTACGATTCTTGTTTACTTCCTGGACCATTTCTTGAACGGATTCAAGGCTGGAGAGAGGAGCGGTGTGTACTTGAAGCAACTGATCGCGGATGGGCCACATGCCGCTGCAGTCGGTCGATACCTTTAGTTGTTCTCGTGCTGGCTTGAAAAGATCATAGACCTTTTGTTCGTATATTTCGATGCAACGGCCCTGGACGCTGTAGTCCGACCCGTAGGATTTGGCTAGCTGAGTAAAAATTTGTTCCATTGCCATGTCGAGCATGGCACTCATGGTGTACGTTTTTCCAGAGCCAGTTTGTCCATATGCAAGGATAGTAATGTCGTAGCCTTGAAGAGCAGCTTCGAGAATTTCGCTCAAGTCACCAAACAGAACGGCGTTGTTGGATTCAGGGGCAAAGACACGATCGAATTTGAAAGTTTTGGCAGTGCCATGTCGATCGAGTACTTCGACAGAATCACCGCCTTTGATAGAGATAGGCTGCTTGCCGAGGGTACCCTGTGGAGGTCTGATTCGCAACCAAGATCGGAAGTTGCCCTTGCTTTCGATTAGCTCCAGCTTGAGCTTTTTCACAAGAATTCCCATCTCTTCTAGCTGTTTCTCTGCAGCTTCCTTCTGGGATATCAGACTTTGCTTCATGCAAGCCATGTCGATTGCAAGATCATCTTTCACCTCTGTGAGCTCTGCCATCTCCTTTGCGTGATTTTCGGCCATCTGTCTTGCTTTGAGGGTCAATTCTTTGAGTTGCACCTTTGCAGCGTGCAACTCTTCTTCAAGTGCTGAGACTTTCGAATTCAAGATGGTGATCTCTTCTTTGTCGGCTGCGCTATCCTTGATTCTGATACTTTGGATGTGGGCTGCATCAATGGAGGGACTTGGAGGCTGTGGCGCTGCTGCTTTGGCTTCCTCTGACTCTCGCAGTTGTCGATTGGTTTCGATCAATTCTCTGAAAAGTTTTGAGATCATCTCATCTTTGGATATCTTATCTACAGAAGATGTTTCATTGCTTGTCTGCAACGCACCAGCCTTGGCTTTAACAGTTGCAAGTTCGCTTTCCAACCGGGCTATTAGCAAATTTTGCTCGTGTACTTTGGCTTGATATTCTTTGGCTTTGGCAATGCTTTCGTCGACCGCCCTGCTTAAAACTCTATTGTCCTCGGTGTGTTTATCGGTATTTTCACCCAAAGTTCTGAGTATCTCGTTTTGACTGTTCAACTTGTAACTCAGTTGTTCAATTTCTGGCGCAAGGTCTGCCCGTATTTCAGCCTGAGGTGTCGTCGTTTGTCTGGCTAGTCTCGAGAAGATAGACCGGGTCTGGTGGGCGTGTGACACCGTGGCTCTTTTTCTAATATTTTGCAGTTCATTCTCGTTGTTTCGCTGCTCTATCCGAGCTATTGTCAACGAATTTCTCATCTGTTCCCCGCTCTGTTTGCCCGCACCTCCATGGGGATTGAGCTTCGCAGCTTCGGGTTGGGCCACGGGAGCTTCGGTTATGTCTTGTTCTTGTTCATTGGATGTAGTGGGCCTGCCACTTTTGCCTGTTTCGCGAGCGCGAATGGCTGCAAACTGCTCCTTAAGAGTCTTTTTACCCGACATTTTGCAAATAGTTTTAAAGTATTGATGTTTGAGAGATATAGCTGAATGATTCGAGGATATCGATTTTAAGCATGAAAATCACACGTATAGTAACTGGGTATGACTTCTTTGTCTTTACACTGTTGAGAAATAGTTTCAATTTCTGATATCTAGAGTACCTCTTTGATATTGAGCAGCCGACAAAGGTTGACCTAGATTGAACAAAGGCAGAAGTAGTCCACGAATACAAAAAGAACGTTATTCGGTCCTCGGTAATGCGATGGCTTTGTCCATTTGTGAACATGCCTGGGAAAGAAAATAGGTCCTGAGAGAACCCAGGGAAATATTGCAGTCCCATGGCGAATGCAATCTCTTAAAATGAACCTCGGTTATAGACGGAAAGAAGTTAAAAAGATGCAAGACAGTTTGTTAGATCGTCAATTTCGACGAAGCAGAGAAGTATTTATTGATTTGATAACCTGTTGATCCATTCATATGGTATTCCGCCTCCACAGTGCTGTCTTGTCATGATTAGCCGTGAGAGTCAAAATCAGCATTAGTTCTCATCAATTGTTGCGTAAGGATATTTGCATAAAGTACCAAGCGCTGACGTCTCATTTTTTATGAGGCATGTAAATAGCTAAACGGGGGACTGCAGTGATTTTCGGATAATTGGAGATCTTTGGCATGTATACAATAATTTCAACCTCAGCGCTACTGAGCGGCAGCAATACGACCTGAGCTTTCATCTGTTGCTTTCTATCGGACATCGGATTCAAGGAATCGATCTTTCGGGTGTAGCAATGTTTATTTGATAATGATGATGTCTTGCCCCCAAATTTCTGCAGGCAGTACCAAGTATATGAGGACGCAATGTGAAGATTTGAGGCTGATTAATCAACACTTCACGTGCTCTTCCGTGGACCCAGTTGCTCTTCACTAGAAGTAGCCATCATATGAAGGAATTTTTATTTCTTTGCTTTTCTGTCTACGGTGCAAGCTTCCTTTTCTCTCTCTCAGGTAAATTCGATACTCTTCTGATTTGGTGACCTTTCAGCGATAGAGATAGAATGTGTGAATGTGAAATACGGTTAAATGTAAACGCCCACTATGAGATTCGATGCTCGTGTGTGGCTTGGTATAGAGACGAACGCTCTTCATCCAGTGCAAACCTTGGAGACAGCTTGATTGAGTGATTTGAGTCTCGATGGTTAATTGATGCTGTGGTTGCTACACGTGATCATAACCAGAAATGTACTTGCTCTCACCCTCTCCTTGTCAAGCAACCTGCCTGCTTAGCTAAGGTGAGTCAATGCTTCGAGTTCGTTTGATCCCAAGAAAGATGGAGGGGTAAGAATGAGAAAGCAAAAGAAAAAGAAAGAGAAAGAGAAAAAGAAGAAAAAAGGAAAATGGTATGGAAAGAACGTTTCTCTGCCTTATTAAGATGCAATGAAGCCCAACGTAACCAAAATTGAATCATTTCGTATTCACGATGAATTGTTCATCCTTTAGCGTTGCGTGTTGTCGTTGTTGTCGTTATTTGTTGTTGAGGCTTTGCAATCCAACAAATCTAGTGGGGTAGATGTTGCAAAGGTTCTAACCCCAAGTATCAAAGTAACACGGAGTAGTACGGAGGAGATTCGAAAGATCTTTTCTAAACCTGGTTCACTCCACTTTCCCTCATATATCTCCAAATATCCAATATCCGACATCCAACTCCTCCAACTCCTCCAACTTCTCCAATTTTCAAAACCTGGATGAGTGGAGATCGTTCCGTGTGAACTCAGGCCACCACCCAAGTCGTGACCGTTCTTGACATGACAATATATGTTGTTACATCGTTGAGAGGGTTGAGCGCTTCAAGGGTCGTCAACGTGTAACACCCGTCGGTAGTCTTGATTGCAGTAGAATTTATGAGAGAGGAATAAAGTTTGCTGCTACTGAGAGAGATATTCGTCGAACCGCCCATCCACCAGGAACACAACCCGTACACACTCGCAGATATGGAAATGGTGGCGCCAACTCGGAAACGGATTTCATCCCACCAAGCAAAGTCAAAGTCCAAGTCCAAGTCAAAGTCAAAGTCAAAGTCAAACTTCACTCAATACGTCACTCCAGATAGCCGCTTGCACAATGCATGCACCATCCACACCCAAGCTTTACTCGCTACCTAGCACCTGCCTACCCTCCCTTCACTCCACCCTTGTTGACCCAGGTAGATATTTTTAATATGAAGATTCACACCCACCAAGACCAACAAATGCATCTAGAACGAACAGATAAACTAATCGTGAGAAACTAACCAGCCTCTTAAATCGTCGATGGCTTGCATGCTAATAACCTTGCTTTGCTCTATTTACCCTATGACTTTCTTACTCGTGTAAGGAAAAGATCGATTTTTCCTATCTAACGTGCATATCTCGAGCAGCACACCTTTTCACGCCCGTCTTTAGCTTCCTTAACCCTCCACGTCCCTTTTGCCTTTGCCATATGCGCCGACACTAATTATTTTACCTTTCTTGACATCTCATCCTAAGAAGTAACCTCCTTCACTCAAAATCAACAACAGTCTTCAAGAAACCGACGGTTGGTTGATTGAGATTCCGCTATCTGCGAATCGAGTGAAACCAATATCTGTGATCGGCATTGTCAACTCTTACCCCACCACAACTTCACAATGGTACAAATCGATTCCCATGAATATTTGTCCGAGGAAGAGAAACGCTTGAAGGAGGACCGTGAGAGAACAAAGTATTGGAAGAAATGGGGACCTTACGTTGCTGAGAGGCAGTGGGCTACAGGTATTTCTCTCGGAAAGTATCTGTGAGCTTATCAATACTGATATCCATCAATAGTGCGAGAGGATTACAGTGCCGATGGAGATGCGTGGAGTCGTAAGTTCACTCTCGACCTCTGAAACAGTAATTTGTGCGTTCCTAACAACCGGCAGATTTCCCTCATGAACATGCAAGATCCAGAGCTTTCAGATGGGGAGAAGATGGTATTGCCGGTGTCTCGGATACACATGGTTTACAGAACGTTGCTTTTGCCTTCTGGAACGAAGAAGAGTGAGTGTAGCATTTGCAATTTGTAAATATAATGCTTGGAAACTGACTCGAATACAGTGACTATTTAAAGGAACGTCTCTTCGGATTGTCGAACCCACAAGGAAATCACGGAGAGAGTATCAAGGAAGCACATTTCCATGTTGACAACACTCCAACGGTGAGTCAAGTACCCAGCAGCTTTGTCTACATGGAGGAAGACTGACAAATCTATATAGCATTCTTACATGAAATACTTGTACAAATACCCCCAAAAGAAGTTTCCGTACGAGGATTTGATCGCAGAGAACGCCAAAAGAGGGAAAGACGAAAATGAATATCAAATTCTGGATACTGGTATTTTCGATGACGACCGATACTGGGATATCTACATTGAGACCGCAAAAGATGAGGAGAATCCAGATGAGCTCCTTTTCCGAGTTACCGCGTGGAATCGGGGCCCTGAGCCAGCACCATTACACATCATTCCCCATCTTTGGTTTAGAAATACTTGGGCTTGGGGTCATGAGGCCGAGGACAAGAAGCCAAAAATCAGTAAGATTGGAGAGAATGCCGCCCACGCTCGTCATCATAAGCTAGGCGAACGATACATGATCTTGTCTCCTTCTCCTGGTGTTGGACCCAGTGGTGTCGATGTTCAACCTGAATTGATTTTCACGGAGAACGATACAAACAATGCTCTCTTATACAAGGGAGAGAACGCCCAGCCATATGTCAAGGACGCATTCCATCGTTATATCGTAGACCGAGAAAAGAAGGCAATCAACCCTAAGGAACACGGAACCAAGTCCGCAGCTTGGTATAGTTTCAACGAGGGTGGCGGAGTGGCACCAGGAGAGTGTGCTGTGGTCAGATTCAGAATGTCCCAAAAGTATGCAGACTACTTGGACGAAGAAGAATTCGATAACACTATGGACAAGAGAAAGGATGAAGCTGACGAGTTTTACTACCGCATCAGTCCTTTACCAATGGCTGATGATCTTCGAAACATTCAAAGACAGGCTTTTGCTGGTATGATGTGGTGTAAACAACATTATCACTTCATCTGGGACCAGTGGGCGAATGGCGACCCAGCCCAACCTCCACCTCCACCCGACCGTAAAGCTGTTCGGAACTTAAACTGGAAACATATGTATTTGGATGATATTTTATCTATGCCAGATTCCTGGGAGTATCCTTTCTTCGCAGCATGGGACTCTGCTTTCCATTGTATTCCACTTGCCATGATTGATCCAGATTTTGCTAAGAAGCAATTGGATCTTTTCACCAGAGAATGGTACATGCATCCCAATGGACAACTTCCCGCTTACGAGTGGAACTTTGGAGATGTCAACCCACCTGTACATGCTTGGGCCACATTCCGAACATTCAAAATCGAGAGAAAGTTGTACGGACGTCAAGATCTCGACTTCCTTGAACGAGTGTTCCAGAAATTACTTCTCAATTTTACCTGGTGGGTCAATCGCAAAGATTTTGACGGAAAGAACGTATTTGAAGGTGGTTTCCTTGGCCTGGATAACATTGGTCTGTTTAATCGTTCTGAGCCACTTCCAACCGGAGGTACTTTGGAGCAAGCGGACAGTACTGGATGGATGGCTTTCTACTGCCTGTGCATGTTAAACATTGCATTAGAGTTAGCTAAGCATCGCCGAATCTACGAAGATATCGCTTCCAAGTTCTTCGAGCATTTCATGCTCATTAGTGACGCCATGACTTACAAGTCTGGCTCGGGAGAGAAATCTTTGTGGAACGATGAAGATGGTTTCTACTATGATGCTATTTCTTATGGTGGACCATGGACCCAACAGTTACCTGTCAGGTCTCTGGTAGGATTGATTCCATTATACGCCACTCTCACCCTTGAGCCAGAGCTCATCAACAAATTACCAAACTTCAAAAAGAGAGTTGATTGGTTTGTAGAGAACCGACATGACGTTGCTGAACGTAACATGGCTA